TCTTTAGTCAAAAAATATTTGCTTATCCCCTCCAAAAACTTGATGACGTCAGCTCAAAAGTTTGTGGAATAAATCATATCTAAAATGTACAAAATATGATGAGTCTGTACTTGTGATCTATCACTCCATTCATATTTTTTGGATTTGCATATGCAGGGTGACTCAAAAAAATTAATGAATGCGTAAATATATTTTATTGATTTAATCAGGAACTACAAAACCGAATGCTCTGAAATCTTGCAGATGTTTTAAGGCTATAAAGAGCATCATAAATCTTTAGTCAAAAAATATTTGCTTATCCCCTCCAAAAACTTGATGACGTCAGCTCAAAAGTTTGTGGAATAAATCATATCTAAAATGTACAAAATATGATGAGTCTGTACTTGTGATCTATCACTCCATTCGTATTTTTAAAAAAATTAATGAATGCGTAAATATATTTTATTGATTTAATCAGGAACTACAAAACCGAATGCTCTGAAATCTTGCAGATGTTTTAAGGTCATAAAGAGCATAATAAATGTTTAGTCAAAATATATTTGCTTATCCCCTCCAAAGACTTGATGACGTCAGCTCGAAAGTTTGCCGAATAAATCATATCTAAAATGTACAAAATATGATGAGCCCGTACTTGTCATTTATCACGAACTACAAAACGGAATGCTCTGACATCTTGCAGATGCTTTAAGGTTATAAAGAGCATAATAAATGTTTAGTCAAAATATATTTGCTTATCCCCTCCAAAAACTTGATGACGTCAGCGCGAAAATTTGCCGAATAAATCATATCTAAAATGTACAAAATATGATCAGTCTGTACTTGTGATCTATCACTCCATTCATATTTTTTGGATTTGCATATACAGGGTGATTCAAGAAAATAAATGAAAGCGTAAATTTATTTTATTGATTTACTCAGGAACTACAAAACCGAATGCTTCGAAATCTTGAAGATATTTTAAAATTATCATAAGCATGGTAAATTTTTGATCAAAACGTATTTGGTCGTCCCCCCTAACAAATGTATGATGTCACCACAAAATTTTGCTGAATAAATCCTATCTAAAATGTACAAAATATGGTGAGTCTCTTCTTGTGATTTATCATTCCATTCAAATTTTTTCGATTTGCATATACAGGGTGACTCAAAAAAATTAATGAATGCGTAAATTTATTTTATTGATTTAATCAGGAACTACAAAACCGAATGCTTTGAAATCTTGGGAATTTTTTAAAGTTATTATAAGCATGGTAAACTTTTGTTCAAAATGTGTTTGTTCATCCCTCCTAAAAAAATTGATGACGTCACCCTTAAATTTTGCTGAATAAATCCTATCTAAAATGCAAAAAATATGATGAGTTTGTACTTGTGATTTATCATTCCATTCATATTTTTTAGATTTTCTTAAGAGGTGATTCAAAAAAATTAATGAAGTCAATTTATTTTATTGATTAAATTAAAGGCAACACTTATTATTAGTATTACACCCCAACCAACCCAATTTGGTAGACACAAAATTTGTTAAAGGAAAAACTCGGTTGAAACATAAGGGTAGCACGCTTATTTACATCGACTTTAACATTACAGACCTGCATTTGTTTTATGCGGTCACTTGGTTCCGCGAATGCGAAATAGACATGTTTATAATCAACCAATTGTGAATTTCACCGTCAAGAATTAAAATAAAACGCAATGTTTTATATAATAAGCGGAAGTCGAAGCAATAAAACCGATGGTCGTTTTGTTTACAGTTTCTCTGTTTGACTCTCACGTATGCTGTTACGCTTGTCATCTTAAATTAAGAATGTTTATACATAAACGATTTTCAGTTGCCCCTCATATTACTAGACAGCGGATTTCTGTCGGGCTACGTCACGATTATAGGGGGGGACGTGCTGGATTCCATAAATATAATTAACGATTTATTAATCAAACGGCTAAGTAAATGAGAACGGGAATTAACAGCAGAGTGCAACGAAACAACGTTATTCTAATCTCAAATAAACGAAGTGCAGTCCGCAACGGCAATGAATTCGCATCCCGTGCGAGCCGTACCGAGTTTGGCCTTGCCTAGCCCGACAGAAATCCGCTCTCTAGATATTACACACCGGCGCCGTATACGTGAGTAAATTGTTTCGTTATTTTATTGATTATAAGAAATCAATATTCAAAACGACCCAATTCATTTTTCCGAAAATTTGGGAACACAATAATTTTATTCTTAGTATTACACTACATCTATCCCAACTGATATACGTGTCCTTGCAAAAATGTTGATGACGTCATCACAATTTTTTTTTAAATTCCCACTACAAAAATGTAATGAGAAAAAAAAAACATAACAGGCATGCAGTCGTCACGTTTCCGACAGCGAGGGAAGTACTGTCTAAACTCTTTAGACCAATTTTTTCTTTACAATTTGTCTAATGGGTTGACTTGTTTAATAACGAGAATCTACTCTCTTCGGAAGTAAGGCATATAAATAAAATTTTTCTAGGGATCTATCATATTATTTTCCCAAAATTTATCATCTCGTTGAATTAAAGATTATTTAAATTGGACATTTTATATATTTCTACGATAGAGTTTTTGTTTATTAAGCCGTCTGGCGATGTCGCTAAAAATGTACAAACCGCATTGTCTTATTGTTAGTTTGGTGTTACTGCAAAATGCTTCAGTTGCCCTTGCTTCATTTTCTATGCAACGATTTTGGGAGAGTACATGCTGAACTAGATTTGCAGGGATCTAAAATGTTTTTCACGGTACAGTAGGATTAGCCGTGTTACTTGTTCTCTCATTTTGTAAATTTTACCAAAATAACGTTCGGTTAGTCTAAAGGATTTTACTAAAAATGCGCAAAATATGATGAGTTTTTACTTGTAGTTTATCATTGCATTCATATTTTTACTTCCCGAGCGTTAGCAAAGGAAGTATTGTAATCGAGTCCGTCGGCCGACTCTCTACTTTTACGTTTTCTCGATCTTTTATGACCCCTAGAAGACGAAGAAATAGGTCTCCCATTTCCGTCTGTCTGTCCGTCTGTCCGTCTGTCTGCCGTCCCGGATTTTTATTAGACAGATAATCTCCGAAAGTACTGGACCGATTGTTGTGAAATTTTGTACTTATTTTAGGAATATCATGTAGATGGTAAAACGCTAACCAAAATTTGTCTAATCATCCCCACCACTAATGCGATGACGTCACTTCAAAATTGTACATAGTAAATGGGTCTTAATTTGTATAAAATAACATAGTCCTACACATGTAGTTTACGACTCCGAATTGAGTTTTTACCCGAAACGTCCAGATTTTTGGAAAAAAAATCAAAATTATAAAACAACATTTTGCAATTTAATTTTGAATCTGCTAATCCGAATGTTTTGAAATGTTGCAGATGTTTTAAGGCTATAAAGAGCATCATAAATCTTTACTCAAAATATATTTGGTTATCCCCTCCAAAAACTTGATGACGTCAGCTCAAAAGTTTGCCGAATAAATCCTATGCAAAATGTACAAAATATGATGAGTCTGTGCTTGTGATATATCACTCCATTCATATTTTTTGGATTTGCATATACAGGGTGACTCAAAAAAATTAATGAATGCGTAAATGTATTTTATTGATTTAATCAGGAACTACAGAACTGAATGTTTTGAAATCTTGCAGGTGTTTTAAGGTTGTAAAGAGCATAATAAATTTTTAGTCAAAATATATTTGGTTATCTTCTCCAAAAAACTGATGACGTCAGCTCAAAAGTTTGCCGAATAAATCCTATCTAGAATATACAAAATATGATGAGTCTCTTCTTGTGATTTATCATTCCATTCAAATTTTTTGAATTTCTTAATACCGGGTGACTCAAGAAAAAAAAAATGAATGCGTAAATTTATTTTATTGGTTTACTCAGGAACTACAAAACCGAATGCTTTGAAATCTACTGCGAAAAAAAAACATGAAAGGCATGCAGTCTTCACGTTTCCGACAGCGAGGGAAGTACTGTCTAAACTCTTTAGACCAATTTTTTAAATATTTTTTTAGATTTGCCTATATACCTAGGTGGATCAAAAAAATTTATGAATGAGTCAATTTATTCTATTGATTAGATCAGTCTCGACTCACTCCATTTTCCCACAAATTTTTGGAATACTGTTATTTTTAGTCTAATCTACATTGATTTACGTGTCCTTGCAAAATGTTGATGATTTCATCACAAAATTGTGTTCCTAAAGTAAAAATTTAACTCGAAAATGCTGGATATGTTTCATTGTATTTTAGGTGCGAGGAAAGTTCTGTCGAAACAATTTTCCACCAATTTTTTTTGCTGTTATGTTTGAACATAAACAGTTTATTTTATATATTTTTAAAACATTATAAAGAAAATAAAAAGTTGTGTTCGACTGAACCTTGTGGGTTTCTCAATCTATTTTCCGCAGCATTTTAAACTTTCAACTCAATTTCTTTCAAAACACATACAAATGGATTTCGATGGTTATTTCCCTGTGCCCTTCATTTGAAAATAAATAAGCTTATCTGGTGTTGTTTACCGATTTGCATTTTATGACGGACTCCCTACAGTGACCATAATCTCTCCTCTCTTGGGTGGCTACCTGCCGTGGATCGGTACTTTGGGTTGCATAGTTACAAAAAATAATTCTTCTCACTGAAACCGATTTTGCGGGCGACGACTGGGGACCCTTAAGCTTAAATATATACTTTAATTAATAGACAACCATTGAAATATGCTATACTGATGAAACCTAAGAAGGCTGCATCTGCAGTCTACAGATGTTTAGTGTGTTGTCTTATTCTTTACTTGACTTCAACCGATTCGGTAGTTTCGGAGATTATCTGTCTAACAAAATTCACAGACGGCAGAGATATTGACACACAGACAGATGGAAAGCGAAACCCATTTTTTCGTACTCTAGATATCATGATACATCCATAAAATATGAAAAGAGCCAGTCGCCTGCTGGACTCAATTACAATACTTCCTTACCTTACAATCGGGAAGTAAAAATCTAAATCACGAAATCTATATTGCTGCTAAAAATGAAACGAACCTGATGGTGAATATGCTTATACATTTTAATTTGCTCAATACCAACCTTGCATCTGAATGAATGTCGGATGCTGAAGTTCTTTATGACCAGCGCAGAATATTTGCCTCGTGGAAGATGCGCTCAGAGTTGTCATAATGAAGTTTTGCCAACAGCTGCAAACAGTAAACAAATGATAAGATTATACGAATTGAATCGCAATAAGCATGACTGTGTACGTAATTTTATGTATTTAACCACTTCTAACAATTTTTACGAATTTTCAATATTATACCTTCGATTAAGTGTACATGTTCCAACAGTGCAAATAGTTGTTTACTTATTTTCGTTGAGACAGTTGGAATTCAAAATGTTGTTGCTTCAGGATGGCGAGTTATTGCGACGTTTTATTGCGATATATTTACTATAAATCTAACCTTGTAACCGAAAATACCATATTTGAGAAATTGTAGGTGCGATTCACCAATTATCTAGACACACTCACCTAAAGTAAAAATATATTATATATCTGCTGAACTGCCAACCAGTGGGCGCGTGATTTTTACACTGCGCTATAATTTTCATTAATTAATTAAACACATTAAAATTATGGGTGGTAGTACACGTAGTGCTAAACAGTTGCCTAGTGTTACCGACGAACTTCGAAATTTAATCGAGGAAATAGTGCAAGAAAAAACACGGGAATTAGCCAAATACACTGACGTCATCCGAGGTCATCAAGATGGCAGCGTTTGACAACTAGTCGGTTTTCTCATAAGAGTCAATGCTAATATTTTCGGAATTCATTTAAATTTGAGAGTGTGTCAACTGTGTTTTTATAGTTTGGTAAGTTTGTTACAGTTTCTAGACTGTGTAGATATTTGTAAAACGCACCATAACGTTTGAATATGCTTAAAAAATAATGTTTTCCAATGTGATGTACAGGTTAACTTCGATGCATCTTATATTATTTGTTTTGCAAATTAATTCTTTGTTAATGTACATCAATGTTTTTTAAATACACTAGCATCTTAATATTATAATATTTTGTATTTTAGGAGAAAATGCCTAAATTTTGTGCTGTTGTGGGTTGCGCAAATCGAAACACCAGAAATGCGGACAAATTTTATAGTCCTTTCGCAGCAATTAGCAACAATAATGGTAAATATATACAGGATGGGGAAAAAGGCGGAAGCTTTGGTTAAAAGCCTTGAAACGAGTGGATTTAACGAAGCCAAAGTAAAGTATTCCTATGTTTGTTCGGATCATTTTATTTTAGGTACAGTACCTACCTATTAGATTTACAGTTTCTAACAAATTACTACATTGGTGCTCTTTTAGGTAAACCTGCAGATTTGTCGGATGTGGACCATCCTGATTATGTTCCATCACAAAATTTAGGATATCAAAATAAATCCACGCATAATACTTGTAATGTTGAAAGACACAGTTGTTTAAAAAAGAGAAAATTGAATAAATGTCTCTAGACTTTTGAAGGCACGAGTTTTATTGTGGGTTATTTTACTTACTCTAAAAATAAAAAAGTTTAGAATGGTATTCATTGTTATGGTAGGGACATCGTCTAAACACAAACTAAAATCACTTGCACTCATTGTATAAGGATCTACGCCGTTTAAATTGTTTAACTTTTGTACATATCTGTTTTTGTCTTTGACGGAAAGACATGGTGCATAATCACTTAAATTATCCATACTTTAAAAACCAATCACACACCTTCACTTAAACCCGTCACAGTAACCTCAAACGAAAATATTAATTTCCAATTTTCCGCTTAAAACACACGGATGTATTTTGAATGACGAGGAATTCAGACCAAAACAGTGTTCTGTATTTTTATTTTTATTATGTATTTCTAAACTCAAATCGCCAAAGAAAGCACCCTGATACACAGAAAAGATATGAAAGAAGCTATTCACGTGTTTATATTCTAAATAAATATCCACACTTTTAAATAAAATGCGAAAATGTTAACATTGTCGCTTATGGAGTTTCACGGCGCTTGTCAAACGCTGAGTTCCCGCCACAACATGACGTCACGTGTTATTGGCTAATTGACGCAAGAGCTGGCACTTCTTCGAAGGGAGATTACCATGCTTCGAGACACGAATAATGTTCTGGTGAAAGAAATTAGTAAATCCACAGCTGCAGTGAGTAAATTACTCCAGAATCAGGTCTTAAAGAGTAATGAAGCGAAATGTGAAGGCACTCTGTATCTAAATCCAGAAACTGATACTAACATATTGCAAAAAACCAATCATGAAAATGACATCGATAAGAACTATGTAAAAATGCCAAGGAAAGACCAAAATAGTAGCAGAAAAACTAACACCGGGAATTATAAAATCATTGGAACCAAAATGCCGAACGCATTGGATACAAGTATCAGCGATGACCAAACTTTTAGCGCAGCGGCTCGTAAAATATGGATATAAGTAGGTAGAGTGGCCTTAGACTCAAACGCTGACCAAATAAAACGTCACTTGAATTCAAAATTTCCCGACAAATCTTTTGTCATAGAACCACAACCAAGGCATGAGGAAGCACGAAGTCTAGCTTTTAAAGTTGGAACCGACGTGGATTTACTTGACCAAATTTACAACCCAGAGATTTGGCCCAAGAGTGTAATATCAAAAAATTTATGTTTTTTTGAAAACGACCTGAAACCAGTGCCCATTTCGAAAAATAATGACAACCAAAAAAGAAAACTCCAATACTATACAGTAGGGAACGAGGTTATTACACTACTACATTACTAGAGTATCATTACATTACTTCAGATTCTTTTAACTTTCTTTATGTAGTATATCCTGTTTCCAAAATCTCAAGAAGTTAGGGTTATGGTAATTCAATTCAATCTGGATGCTTAGGGTAAAAACTCAATAAACAACAAATGAAAAAGTATGTTATTTTTTTAAATTTATATAACATTTATTGCTGTAAAAGTTGGAGATGACGTTATATGATGGGGAGGATGATTACAAATGTTGGTCAGCGTTTTATCAACCGGAAACGAGAGACCTATGTTTTCGTATGATAAGAGTCATGAAACGTTGACAAGCCATAAAAGTAGCCAGTCGCCCGATGAACTTGATTACAATACTTCATTAGCTTACGCTGGAGACATAAAAAAAATAAACAGTAACTTTTGGATTTAATAGCTTTTGATATCTGGTATACCTAAACAGTGAGTGAATTTTACGCGGCTATTATTACCATTACATATAACCATCAACTTAAATTAATTGGTAAAAAAATTTACCCATAAGTAAGTTATTGTAAAGTTATTTTTATTTACACGCGTATAATTGCACAACAATAATTGTTAGACAAATAGAATGATAAAGAAAGGCAATGTCATATTAAAAAACAAATTACTCGTTTCGATGTAAGGTACCTTATATAAGTTAACAACATACATCAGGTAAAATTCTAATACGGAATTTATTCTTGAAGTAAATCGTAAATTGTAAATAGCTATAAATTCGGAAATAATTCTTTTTAAAAGATACAAGTCAAAAATGTATTAGGCATGATTGTCAAGAAACATTGCAATTCTGTTCCAAATTTGCAAGCATTTTATGTCAAAAGCTGATTTTTGTAAACGTTCCAGTATTGATTTAATCAGGAATTACAGAACCGAATGCTTTGAAATCTTGGAGATGTTTTAAAGTTATCATAAGCATGGTAAATTTTTTATCAAAGTGTATTTGCTCTTCCCCCCTAAAAAATTGATGACGTCACCCCAAAATTTTGATTTGTGATTTATCTTTCGATTCATATTTTTGGATTTGCATATACAGGGTGACTCGAAAAAGTTAATAAATGCGTGAATTTATTTTATCGACTTAATCAGGAATTACAAAACCGAATACTGTGAAATCTTGGAGATGTTTTAAAGTTATCATAAGCATGGTAAATTTTTTATCAAAATTTATTTGCTCATCCCCCCCTAAAAAAATTGATGACGTCACCCTAAAATTTGGTAAATAAATCCTATGTAAAATGTACAAAATATGATGTGTCTGTACTTGTGATTTATCACTACATTCATATTTTTGGATTTGCATTAACAGGGTGACTCAAAAAAATTAATGAATGCGTGAATTTATTTTATCGATTTAATCAGGAATTACAAAACCGAATGCTTTGAAATCTTGGAGATATTTTAAAGTTATTATAAGCATGGTAAACTTTTGTTCAAAATGTATTTGTTCATCCCTCCTAAAAAAATTGATGACGTCATCCTTAAATTTTGCTGAATAAATCCTATCTAAAATGCAAAAAATATGATGAGTTTGTACTTGTGATTTATCATTCCACTCATATTTTTAAAATTTTCTTAAGAGGTGGCTCAAAAAAATGTATGAAGTCAATGTATTTTATTGATTAAATTAAAGGCAACACTTATTATTAGTATTACATTGGACCAACCCAATTTGGTAGACACAAAATTTTTTAAAGTAAAAACTCGGTTGAAACATAAGGGTAGCACGCTTATTTACATCGACTTTAACATTACAAACGTGCATTTGTTTTATGCGCTGACTAGGTTCCGCAAATGTGGAATAGACATGTTTATAATCAACCAATTGTGAATTTCACCGTCAAAAATTAAAATAAAACCCAATGTTTTATATAATAAGCGGAAGTCGAAGCAATAAAACCGATGGTCGTTTTGTTTACAGTTTCTCTGTTTGACCCTCACGTATGCTGTTACGCTTGTCATCTTAAATTAAGAATGTTTATACATAAACGATTTTCAGTTGCCTCTCATATTACACACCGGCGCCGTATACGTGAGTAAATTGTTTCGTTATTTTATTGATTATAACAAATCAATATTCAAAACGACCCAATTCATTTTTCCGAAAATTGGGGAATACAATAATTTTATTCTTAGTATTACACTACATCTATCCCAACTGATATACTTGTCCTTGCAAAAATGTTGATGACGTCATCGCATTTTTTTTTAAATTCCCACTACAAAAATGTAATGAGAAAAAAACACAATAGGCATGCAGTCGTCAAGTTTCCGACAGCGAGGGAAGTACTGTCTAAACTCTTTAGACCAATTTTTTGGTTTTCGTAAGTTAACTTTTTCGGTGCTAACCACAATTATGAATCCAACACCTGAAAGTGCATTTTAATTTGACTAGGGGAGACTTACTCCATGCACCATCAACAATCACCGGATTGTAAGGTACCCCATCGCTATCTATTTCTCCTGCCTCAACGGCAACTCTATATTCTCTCTCTATATTTTCGGTTAAGATGCTGTGGGAAACACAGTCGAAGGCTTTCGTGAGGTCTAAAAATTCAGTACACGCAAATTCTTTAGCTTCAAAACTCTCATTTATTTTATCGACTAAAGGCATTAATTGCTAAAGTAGTGGATCGTTTAGATCTAAAACCGAATTGTGAATTGTTAAAAAGATTATGTTCTTCTAGATGTAAATTCAATTGCCTTTTTAGTACTAGTTCGAAAATTTTTGCAAAAATTGGAAGAATGGAAATAGGTCCAAAATTTTCTGGATTATTTTTGTTCCCCTTCTTATAAAGGGGAACAACTTTTGCAACTTTCAAAAAATCTGGAAAAACGCTACATCTAATGCACATGTTAATTAAATTTGTTAAAGGTCTTAATATACGGTATCGAATGGTTACTAGTATTTTTTTGTTTATGCCATAGATATCTCTGCCTTTGGTATTCTTTAAATCTGTAATAATGTCGTTTATTTCAATAAAAGAAGCTTCTTTAAAAGAGAAGTTTAAATCCTTTTTGTTATTCAAAAATTTTCTATAATCTGTATGACATTTTGGAAGTTTCTTTACGATATTCTCTCCCAAACTTGTATAAATATATGTTTTGCAGTTACTTACTTGTTCACGTTGGTTATTATTATTAATAAGCGACCACATTGCTTTAATTGGATTATTCGATTCTGAAATGAATCTGTCATGTGCTTCTTTTTTTGATTTCATTATTTCTGAACGATAATATTGCCTATATTTTTTAATAAATGCTTTTAATTGTTCCGACGGATTCGTTCTGTTAAATTCTTCAATGGTGCAAAGAACTTCACGCATATTTTTTAGGTCTTGATTGAACCAATGAATTTTCGATTTTTTATCGTTTATTTTAATTTTTTTTGTTCTCAGTGGAAAACAGCGTTCTATGTTGGAAACAATAGTCCTAATGAAATTATAAAACTGTAACTCTACACTATTACTGTTGTGATGAAATACCAAATTTGAGTCTAGATCTTCCATGTATGAATGTAACTTATAGAGTCCGATAGAAGTAATAGGTCTATAGTTTATATATTTTGTTATTTGAGGAAGACTAGGTATACTGAAACTGAAAGAAAGAAAATCATGATCTGAAAAACCAATTTTTATAACTGAAGTTTTAGTTTTTGCAATTGTAAAATTGGTGAATATATTGTCTAAGCAGCTGTTTTTCCTAGTTTTA